GGCTACTGAGAAGAGGTATATGGTACTTTGAGATCATAGAATAAGAGGACTTGACACTGTGGAAACGTTCAAGAAAAACTTGCCTTAGAATTGATCCCTGAGCTGAGATCTGAAAGTAGAGTGAGAATCGACTAGGTGAAGTGGAGGAGGGAAGAGCATTTCAGACAGAAGGTGTAAAGCTCCTTTGGCAAGAAGGAATGTGGTGACTGATAAGAGTCCCTTATGTGGCTGAAGTGGGAGAGCGCAGGCACTTGACCAGAAAGAAGTAATGCTAGAGAGGTGGACAGGAGATAAGCATGTAGAAACCTGAGGGTCACGTTAACGAGTTTGTGCTGTCGATACTCTATGTGCAATAAACTGGGAGGGAAAATGGGGTGGCTGGCATGATCAAATGAATGTTCTGAGATGATCGCACTGGCTGAAATATGTAGAAAAGATCAAAAAATGGTGTTATGCAAAGTTCTTTCTGTTTCAATTAACAAAGTTTCCACTCATTCTGGTTTCAGAAAAAAGATTTTAGTTGGCCCCAAAATTGTAAAGCATGACCAGGAGCAGATATTCAGGCATTTTGGGATCAAGATACATAATGATGTTTTCAGGAACATATTTCTCTGCATAGCAGGTCTGCTTTCTATTGTTGGCTTTATCATTAAGCAGTCTCCTCTCTTGGGGATGAAATGGCAGCTGGCAGCCTAGAGTAAAAAATCTTAAATATTACCACTCCAGCAGAAAAAGAACTTCTCTGTCCTGTAGTTCCATCAAATATCCCATGACTGGCACTTGTTAAACAACTTGGTCACATGTCCATCCATGAAATAATCATTATGGCCAAGGAAGAAGACACTCATGGTCAGGCCTGAATGATTTGATCACTTCTGGAACTAGGTGGTGCAGTCAATCCCCCTTACACCACAAGGCCTGGGAGAAGGAAAGGGGAAGTCTGCAAAAAAAACTTGGATGCTGTCTCCAGAATTGGGAGATCCATAGAAAATATGAGGGGACAGGTTAAGAGGGTCTTATGATATTCCTGGACAGATATAACCACAGTCTGGATTGAGGGTAGAGACCTGAGAGATATTTAGGAGAATAAATTGTAGCATTTTGTAATGAATTAGACAAGAGGGTGAGGTAGATTGAAGTATCAAGAGTATGTCCTAAATTTCATGTCTACATAATGGATTCCCTGAGACAGTCAACACAGAAAGGGACCCAGGTTAAGAGGTGGAGAGAGAGGTGGAATATCATGAATTTAATTTGGAACATACTTAGTCGGAGGTGCCATTGAGACATTCAAGAGATGTTAAGAAGGTACAGGGCTACAGATCAGTTGGATATATAGTGGATATACAGGTCCAAAGATCAGGGAAGACATCTGGGCTGGAACAGCCCAGTGGTTTGAAGGTGGTTGTGACCCTGGCCGGTGACAGAGGCAGAGCCAGATACAGACGGTAGAATGAGTGAAAGGCAAGGAAATAGAGACAGTCAGTATGTATACCACAGTTTGTGGTAGATTAAATATGGCTATAAATTCATTACCATTTCTTCCATTTAAAAGTGGAGTTTAATTTGCTCCTCAGTGATTCTGGGTGACTTTAGTAATTTGCTTGGCCAGAGCATTCGCAACAAAGAGAATGTCCTGGGACTTTCAATGCAAGGTCCTAAGAAGCCTTGTGATTTCCGCCTGAGCCTCCTGAAACATATGTTGTAAAGCAGCCCAAATAGGGTATTCTTGGGCAAATTATTTAACTCCTTAAACCTCTATTTCTTTATTTGCATAATGATAAGCACTCAATAATTGCTAGTTGCTGCTTTATCATTAGAGTGCACTTAATTGGTAATGAAGTGAATTAAGTAGCATAAATAGAGACAAGATTTGGCTTATTTTTCCCTTTACAAAGGATTATTTTTATAAGATTTTAACACTGTAATTATTTTAGTGGTAACTACAATGTTATCATAAACTATCATTTACCCCATTTTACAATGTGGCAAGAAAATTAAAAAGGGATAAATATATTAATAATTTTAGACTCAGTTTAGACTGGATTAAATTCTACATCCTTTGCTCAGCAAATGTACCATGTTAAACAATTAAATCATTAGTCAACTAAAATATCTATAATCAGGATTCTTAAAGGAAATACATTGGGCATTCTGTGCTTTTTGTGACAGTGTGGGAATATCCAATGGTGATATTTTCAGGTTACATTGCCATTTGAGCAGTGCTTTTCTGAAGTTGCAAATAGCTGTGCTTTAATATCATTCCCAGAAATACCACCTCTGAAACTCAGAGAATTAAATTACCACTTTAAACTAGTATTGTTACAACCCAAAAGAGAGAATTTCAGAAAATATCACTCTCACATTCAGTATTTGTGGGAATGCCATCTTAAAGAAGAATTTATGGGTATAACACAGCCATTAATTTTATCTCACTTGCGTCATTCAAATGAAAAAAAGAAATAGGGACAATGAAGACACCTTGATTTATATACCAATTTGTTTCCACATAGTGCTTCCCAATTTCCATAACCCCAGTGGACGCAGTTTTCCTCTGTGACCCAGTGAGCATGCATTTCCCAGGCATGAGGAGCAAGGAGTCTCTTTTGATACTTATTTCCTTAGAACCTCCTCCCCATGACGTTTAAAGATGAGAAAGGGAACATTTTTCTAGTTGCCTTTAGAAATTTGACTGTTTGTGGGATGTTTTGCACCAGCTGAGGTGAAATGCTCTGATAAGAGCTTAGTGGCAGCCCAAATGTTCACTCCAGGAGATTTATAGATGGTAAAATCCTGTCCTTACTTGAATATTTTGCCACTACCACTCCTTTTTTCCCCCCTGCTTTCTTGGAGAGGACTTTTGTGGGTCTGGATTACTGGAACCAATTCCCGAAAGCCCCTTGTCAAAAGAGTATATATGACTGAATGTGATGTGTTGTGCTGAGCTGTTTACTGGGTAGACGCCAGACTTCATTGTTAGTACATTGAATATGAGATTAATTGAGTGACAAGGCATGGAGAGTGTCTTTAATCATATATTGATCACCACCTGCATTTAATCTGGACCATTGGCAATACTTCTAACTAATACATTCTAACTAAATACTTTGAGGCATTATAATATTCACTGAGAATATCAAATATATTTGCAAGTTATAGAAGCACCTGGAGTTTGGTAAAAAGTTAATTTTTATTCATTTGAAGTAAAAATCACATTATATTCTTTGCTTACTTTTATTAAATGGAACAGTATGGCTATGCGTTTCAAAACTGAACTTAAAAAAAAATCTTTGGATAGTTTCTTCTATTCCAATTCTATCAAGAGCTACAACAAATCTCCGTACCTTTCTGTCGGAGAAAATGAACCCAGCGCAGTGTCTAACAAAAGCAAATAATTTAAACTTTCGTTGAAACTATGTATGAATCTCTATCACACCCTCCTGAATTCTCTTCACCTCAATCCTCCCACTCCCAAATCATGGATAAAGAGAGACCCACTGGGTGCTGGAAGTCAGCATGCCGTCTCACGGCAGGGTGCTAAAAGAGTGATAGCGGCTACAACATTTTGTATTATATTATATTATATATTGTGTTGGTCCCCCTTCTCTCCCTTCCTTTATGGACTAAGTTTCATTCTTTTTAGCCTGATGACTGGACAAGCGCAAGAAAAACCATATCAGAAAGAAGGAGAAAATTTCCTGAGAACAGCACAACTGCCAAGCTCTGGCACAGAGTCCGTATGCTTTGGTTGATGAATATCTGTAACTACAAACCCTCAGCAATTTTAAACTAACGTGCAAATTAGATGATGAAACAACTCTCCTTATGCTGTCTGTGAACACTTGTTTTAGAAGCTTCAAGGATATTTCCTTTTTATCTCTCTCAATGATAAACTTGTAAGAATTATCCCAAGGGTTGTCTCAACCTAGTTTTCCGCTTAATTGTTCTATTTTTTCATCTTAATTTGTTCTAAAGGCTACTTAAAGTGATGAACAATAAAAGATGCATGTCCATCACACACACACACAATTATGATTAAAAAATCAAAAAGGCTGTGAAAAGGAGGAAGCCAATTGTAGTCAGCTTCACTTTACTAGAGCAGTTTGTGTAAGTTATAGTTTGTGTAAGTTTTCTTATGCTTGCACTTTAACAATACAAAAAAAAAGTCATTTAAATACCTTTAAATATTTTATTGACAATATTAATATATTAATGTATCAAGATGTATTCAGGCAAGTAAAGTGAATATGTCCTAACCCATGTTTTCTAATGTACTGTAGGTATTAAAATGGTGTCACATTGTACATTCTTTCTGTTTAAAAATATGTTATTGTCCTGAATAACTTCTATCTTTCCCCCCAGCACACACAACTTGACATTATATGGTATGACACTAAGATGAAGGAAAAATTTTATTTAGCAGGCTCCCTTGAAATATGTTTAAAAGAGAAATATGGTATTTTCATTTATGACATCAACAAGACTTAAACTGAGCCCATGAGATGGTACATGTTCAGATTTATATACAAAGCCAACTGTTTTGGTATTTTCAACACCATCTTAAAGGTTTCAGATCAATGACTGCTAATTCCATTAGGGGTATTCTTTCAAAAAATCATGAACCAAAATATTTCTTCATTTAAACAATTTTATTTATGGTGGAATTTCCAAAATTTCTTATATCTTGAAATTATCCACAAAGTACTATTTCGTGCTTACATAAAAAGATGCATTTCTTATAAGAAAAGATCAAAATATATACCATTAGGCAGTACTGTTATACTTTTATTTAATATAATATAACCAAAGGATTAAAGAGAAAAGCAAAAGTTAAATATATTTAAAACTCTTGTAACTAATTTCCAGCTGTCCTAATGTTTTGAAGAAAAAATAAAGATCTAAACGCCAGGGATAATATTTTGTAAGCAATATTTATAAAAAATATAAGTTAAGCATTGCAACAAGCTACCCTCAATGAATTACCTCTATAAGAAATAATATTATTGGAACTATATATCTAAAGCAAAGAAAAAGGAAAAGAAGAAGAAAAAGAAGAAAAGAAATGAAGCATTAATTGCTATGGTGACTTTTTAGTTAAATACACTTTCTTATAAAGTGGCAAAATAATATTTATAAATTTACAGTTGAATGGAAATCTTTATATACAGGTTGTCTTGCTTTTGGACGTTTTGGACCTCTTTCCTCCTGTGTAATAGGCCCTCCTGGCAGAACTGATCTAGACTAGATTTTTAGTTCATAGCACATGATAGATGAGCCTGGAACTAGAGGCCCCTGGAGTCGCAGGCTGTGAATCAGTGCTGGCAACTGGGGAGAGAGAGGCTGGGTCCTGGAGAGGCAATCCAGGTTGTTCTGAGTTGGTGATCCGATCCACTATGCTGGATAAGCAATCCAAGCTGGATAAGGAACTTTTCTCTGTGGCATATACTAAGGATACAAGGAGAAAACCATTAAAAAGAATCCCCCAATAGATAGACTTACGTTGCCCCTTAAACTTTAAACTGTAGGTCAGCTCCTTTGACACCCAGAGGTCAGGTGGTCACAGAAAGTCTGTTGTAGAAATTCGCAACAAACATCTAGTAATTCATGGGAATGAAGGTGGGGAGTGGAGAAGGCCCCTGGTAACACTTCAAGCAATAGTGCGTGTGAGTGTGTGTGTATGTGTCTCTGCTAGGAAGATTTTGAGCAGAAGATGTATGTTTATTTTGCTCTGCCAAAGACTCCCCATCAGAACTATCACTTCTATTCTCTTCCCCATACTGCCTGGAAGAACAGACTGCTTTGAGAAGCTGAATTGTGAAGCCGAACTGGTCTTTAAACTCCTCTGAAGTCATCAGTTCTTACCATTTGTTACATCAGGACAGTAGACGCTGTCAAAACTGCTGCTTTTTCTGGACCAGACGGGGCTGTTACATTCAGGCTATAATACAAGATGCAAAAGAAGAAGTTTGTTTTCAGGTCTTGGCAAAAGACGCTCTGACCTAGGGTGAGGCAGGGCTTGCCCACTAGCTCTGTAAATTGACCACTCTCAATCGCCTTCATTGCCTTGATTTAGGAAGGGTTAGCCCTCACCAAATAGCAAGGGCACTGAGGTCAATCTCTGTGCTTGGAGAAGACGAGAGCGGCAGCAAAGAGAAGAGGGGGTGGAAGTCAGCGGCGATGTGCATTGGGTTAACCATGCAAAATGGATTGGAGTAGAAGGAAGCCACACTAATTCAGGGAGAGAACACTTTCCCAGGGCAAAAACACATTAAAACCTGGCAGCGTTGTAGCAAACACCCTCTGAAAAGAATGCATCAACATCTCCTTCCAGCCAGGCCTCAGCAGAGTAGGGACTGGGGCCATGTGGGTATTTCTTTCCAATTTCTTCGAGTTATAAAAACTGTGGGACAGTGGGAGCCGTTGACTTTAGATGTTAGTGTATGGCAGGGTCCGCTGGTCGTGTATTTTAGAAATAAACTGAGTAATGGAGAAAACATCTGATTGATTATTCACTGCCACCTATCTCACAGGGCAACCCTCTCCTACAAAGTATACCTAGAATTTGGTAGGAAGGCAAAGTAAAACCCTGCTCGACAGCTGTTTTCTGGCATCTTTCTAAATGTGCATCTCTCTTCTCTTACAGCAACTCCCCCCTAAACCCACCCCCGATTAACCACCAATAGCCGCTGAATATTCGGTTGCCACATCTGGTGTATATGACACGTAAAGGTTTTTGGAAAAGATTGGGGTGGCCGAGTAGGTACCAGAACTCTCTTACCATGCCATCTGAGCAGTTGGAGGTGGGGCTAGTGGGCTCTGAACAGCTCTGTCCCGGCAGGCTGTAGTAATTCTCCACCTGCTCCCTCAGCAGCTCCTGCAGGCTCTCGATGTAGCGGATGGCATTCCTGAGGATCTCCACCTTGGGCAGCCTCTGGTTGGGGTTGGTCGTGGTGCACCGCTTGAGCGTCTCGAAAGCCTGGTTGACTTTCTTCAGGCGTCTCCGCTCACGCATGGTGGCCGCCTTCCGCCGATCCATGGTGGTGGACTTCCTTTTGCATGCTTTGCAGGCCCACATGAGGCAGTGGCCGGCCTGGTGGTGGCCTGTAGGTGCTCGCACGTGCTCGTCCTCGTCTGAGCCTTGCAGCTCTGCTTTGTGCGCCCTGAAGGCAGCCACTCGCGGCTCAAACTCGTCCCCGAAATCGCCCTCGGGGGACGGGATGCAGGAGCCGTCGTAGAAGTACTCAGAAGGCGAGAACTGGCAGCCGTCCATCATGTCCATCTTCTGCGGAGAGGCAGGCGGTGTACCTGGACAGCAGCGAGAGAGACAGGGGAGAAACCGGAGCCTGGCGCCGCAGCGGGCGGGCAAATCCCGGGCGGAGCTCCCTGGTCGGTTTCTCCGGTAATTAACAAGGGCAGACGCCTAGCGGCCTGGGTCGGCCCCGCTGGGGTTGGGGCTCTTTATATATTCTTGGGGGAGGGAGGCTGGCCCCAGTGGCCAGGCACTATTAGCATATCCCACCACAACCCCCGCCGGGGCTGTCTGGGCAAACCTCCGCCTTTTCGCTAGAGACAATTTGCTGTTTACTGCCCCTTTTGAGGCTAATGGTTTTACTGCGTTTCTGCCGGGGTGGGGGATGGCTTCCCAGCCCGCTTACTTGCACTCTCTAGATTACCTAAACCAAGGGACACTTAAACAGTGTCACAGACAAAAGGAACGAAGGAAATCTAACTTTTTGCAATTGTTCACACGTTAAAAACATAATTTTAGAAAGAAATCCCTACTTTCAGATGACACCAAAGGCCGACCTGCCTTCCCAATCCTGGACGTGAGGAATCACCTTGCTTTTAAGTGTTCGTTTCTCTTTTTCTTGAATTTTAGTTATCTCAGGAATTTTTTTCCACCAGTGGACCAGATAACAGGTGCTAAAAACTTGAACTGACACTTTAGATCATGGAGTGAGCCTATATTTTTTTAAAAATCTGTTTTATTCTGATCAGATTGCCATTTTACAGGCTCTATGTTATTTGAGGTAGGCCAGGAGGTTCCTTTTCCCCAAGACAGGGCTCTGAGTTCTCTCTCTCTCTCTGTCTGCTCATCTAAAAGGAGGTAGGCACAAAAAGGCCAGGTGACCTGGAACATTCCTTCCTCCCTTTCCCCCTTCTGCGTGTGTTTCCTGAGCGTCCCCTCCTTTGGTCAGGCCTTTGCTAGACCCGGAGCAGGCGATGATGGGCACTGGGTCTCTAAGATTTGTATTCGAAGAAAGCCGGTTTTACACGACGAAGTCTCTTTCCTGGGGTGCGTCTCCATTCCCTCTCTCTCTCTGCTCCGCCTTGTCATTTCCACAGACTAAACAGCCAAGCTGGGCTTTGGGGTCGCTAATTTTCTGCTTTCAGGCAAACTAACACCGTTACAGATGCGTCCCAGCTGCCGGCACAGCAATCCTTCTCGGCTCGTGTAAAATTTCCAGCTCCTCCAACCCCGAGTAACTTCACACACTCCGCGACAAAAGCCTTCCAGAAAAGCGATCGCCGCAGGGTCTTTGAAACTTTGGTGGCTAGAAAGTGAGAGGAGAGGGCTGCCATTTAAGTGAGAATGAACCTATTAATCAGCTTTTGCCAATCCGCCTCCACCCTTAACGCACTTCCAAATTACTAGGTAGGTGGGTGCTGTTGGTACATAGGAAAAACGATTACTTAAGGTTCACACAAATAGACTTACATATTCTGGAGTTTTCGACCAGGGCTTGTGGCCCCATTAAAAGAGGAGAGAGTGTTTTCACCTCAACCTTCAGTCATTCTCTCCAGTAGGTTTTGTGGCCCCCAAGTTATTGGGGTGAGGGAAGCAGGGAGGGGCTTTCCTTTCTATAACTTTTAAGTAAAATTATCTTCCTCAAGCAACTGTGGCTGGCTGATTCCACATCTGCAGGCGCCAGAGAAGCTCTAGCTCTTTCAGAGTGAGATCTACTCTCAGAAGAAAAGGCCCGAAAACTGGGGGTGGGAGAGTGTCCTGTCACTAAGGTTCGCTAAAGATGCAGGTTACTGTCCCCTCTCCGCTCTCCCATATTCTGTCACCCCTAAGACAAAGACGCCACCACCACCAACATCCGTGAAAATCAGGCTTCCTTTCACACCAATGGGCTGCTTAATTGTCTGGCCAGTGGGAAATCCATCTGCACCTTGTTTAGGACTATTAACAAGTGGATGACTTTGAAATGAATACGGTAGCCACAGCTACACCAGATAAAAGAGTCAAGTTCCTAAAGGACCCAGGTGGACTGGAAGACTCTGTCCGCCCCAGTGGAAACATTCCAATGCATGCACACTGCTATCGCTGAAATACAATAGCGGGGAGATATTCTCACCCAGGAATTCTCAACCGTCTCAACTACAGATTCCCATCAGGAGCAAGAGCACCATTTGCTTTGGCTGTGGGTCCAGGCGTTAGCACACCGGCCGCAGCTAAAACAGAGTTTCCTGCAGGTTTATGATTTGGGCACAGACAAATCTGCTCTTCAAGTGGAAGAAAGAAGGTGCTCTTCTGCTCGCCTTTCAGTTGATATCTTTCCACCAGACACGCAACGTGCTTTGGACCCAATCCCCTCAACGGGGCGTATTTGTAACAAACAATTATTAAGAGTTTTCTGTTTGCCAAGTGCTGCTCTCAACCCTTTCCATGTATTCACTCATTTAATACTTTCAGCGACTCCGTGGGAACTATTATTAGAGCCATTTTTGAAAGAAGGTAACGGAAGCGCTAGGGGTGGGTAATTTGCTCCAGGTCACACAGGGCTGGGAGCGAGGCTTCCCCTTCCCTCGGATTTGCGCTCCTGGAAGTGACTTTTGTTTGTTTTCTTCTTTCTCAATCCGGGCTCAGCGCGCGTTCTTGGCGCTCCAGAGCCGAAACTCGCAAAAGCTGCGTCCGGGACGCCTCTCCCTCCGCTGCCGGGCCTGCGAAGACGCTGTCCCTCAGGAGGCTGTCAGGAACGGTAGTTGTCAGCGGTTAGGGCTGTCTTTCGCAAGGTGATCTCAAAACAAATTTACCCGAGGGCCGCGGGCGAGGGGAACTAAAGAAGCTGGGAAAACGAGCGCCCGGCGGCTTAATGGGACTTGCTAGGGTGGAAAGAGGGTCCGGGTTGAGGACCCTTACGACTCAAGCGCTGAAAATAGGATCTCAGAGCACCAAAGTTAAAAACGAGACAAAACTTTTAAACCGCTCGCTGTCAGAGGTGAGAAGAGAAAGAGATCAAATAATGGGAGGCAGCACAAAGAAGGAAGGGAGCCAGCGCCCCAAAGACGCCTGGGTCCCCCAGTTCCCAGGAGGTGCCGCCGCTGTTTCCCCAGGGGCACCATGTGAGAGAAAAACGGAAAACTGGATGAGCGATACAGAGAAAAACATATTTTTTTTTTTTGATTGGGGACCTTGAACAGGGAAGTAGGAAAAAAATGAAAAAATTGCTTTAAAAATATTATTTTGATTATCTGTGTGCCCTCTTTTACTTCTACTCAAAATCAGACTGCCTTGACTTTTGTTCTTCATAGAAAAGAGTAAAAATATAATCTGTTTTTAAGTATTTCTCTAGAGAAGTGGATTTCTTATGTGCAGAGAAAACACATTTATTTAATATGCAAACAGGTTGTCAGAAACAGGCCAAGACTGTCTGCTGAGAAAGCACCACGGCAGGCAGATCAGGGGGAGACACACGGATGTTATAAAGGAATGCCCGCCAAGGTTCTAGTGGAGGAGACAGATCGTTTTTTAAAAGTTTTTGTCCTTTCGCATTCTGAAGGAAAATCAATACATGCCTGATTTCTTACAATTTAGATTTATAAGCAGGTTTTCGTTGCAATGACCTTTAAGTAATCACCAACTTTTTTTTTTTTAAGACAACCCGTTTTAATTTAAGCATAAGGGCAACAAACCTAGTGTTGATGGACAGACCACACCAGCAAAATGATGCTCAGAGCTTCCTTTCCTGGTGATTTTGCCTGCCCTCACAGTTCTGCCTTTTCAAAATTCTCTATGCTTCTCTTAGCAGGGAAACCAAATGTACATAGAAAGATGAGTCCGTTTCAATTTACTTCTGCCTCTACCTGAGACCTGTCTCAACTCCTGGATAAAGGGAGCTGTTCTAGAGACTTTTGCTTATTATATATATGACTTCACAATGTGCTAAACAATTTCAAACTGCTCTTGGCTCTGAGAGCCAGGCACACCTAAGTAAACATATTAGTACCTGCCAAAGCTGCTGGAAGAATTTGTGGAGAAGACAGCTGAGGAAGACATTGGCCTCTGCTTGAATTCGAAGACTCCCAGGAGAGATCAAAGCCCTAAGGAAGGATTTTCAGCAGCCCTGAGAGTAGAGAAAGTAGCCAGTTCTTGCAGCATTACCTTTGGTTCAGCACATGGCCTAGCCATTCCATCTCATAGGCTGACTCTGGACTAGGCTTACCGAAAATTCTCACTCAGAATGACACCTCTAGGACGAGGGTTATCTTTTCTAACACTTCTTTTGAATTTAAGGGAGTGACTGGAGAGTCTGGTGGAGAAACGTCTTGAAGGTTCGACTGTTTGGGGAATACCAAGTTATTGCTAATTTACTAATATGATATTAGGAAATGAGATATTCGAAGTTAAAACTAAAATATTTTTTCCAGATATGGTGTTCTGTGAGGAGGATTTTGAGATGAATAAATGGGATAAAATATTACTAAGATAAAAGAACAAATGGATAAATTCTAAGTAAAAAACGTCTTAATAGAGAGGTCACTTTAACAACCCAAGACTTAAGTGGCAGTCTCAGCAGTAGCTGGGAACCCTGAATTTCAGCACCACACTCCCACCCCTCAAACATATGAAAGAGTCTGGGAAAAAACTGAGTCCATTAGACATAAGTGGATTTCCACTATGCTCAGGCTTGGAATTCGACGATCCAGGTGTGATTATTAAAGCTAGCTTGAGAAAGCTGACAGTTTATGTTCCACAAATTATTTCTAGAGTAATATAAAAAAGAAAATCACTCATGATTTTATACTTGATAACTTTCTGCCTGCCTCTGGAGAGAGGCTCAGTTTAAATCCTAAATTGCTTATCTTTACCAAGTTATTACATCTTGATTTTCTGCTTCCATGGCCTTGTTTGTTTTGGCTTTGGCCTTAGTAAAGATTATCATCATTAATATCAAATAAAAACATTTTAATTGCAAACATACCGAGGATTTCATTGGAAAGCCTAACATGTCAGCTACAGCAGGGGAGGTCACATGAAGTCTTTGGGAAATATTTGCTCTATTTAATGAAGAGACTTCTATAGGCAAACTTATTCCAAACAATTTCTCAAGTTACCCAGCTAAGAGAGATAGAGGGGATTTGGTTTGCAAAGACTGAATAAAATCTATCAGCAAGTAAAGTCCATGAATTGATAAAAGCATTCTGCTGCTGAGCAGTTTGTAACACAAATCTTTTTATAAATATATGGGCAAACATAAAGTAAATGAGTTCATCTGGTCAATTGTGATATTTGATTTCAGTTGTGGCATGAATCTAATTATTTAAAATATAGATGCATATATATACTTTTTAGGGAAACTCTTTATGGATCCTCAGGGAAAACATCAGATACATAACAAGCATGATTAATGCGCATACACACCACCCAGACATATTCACCTGTGTTCTGAGCTGATAACTTGAAATGATTTATCGCTTATTTTAAATTAAATTATTGCTTTAATTTGGAGTTCACTAGCTAATCACTCTTTAGAAAAAGCTGTTGGAAAACAATTGTCAAAGAGAGCCAAATTACCCTACACACCATAAATGTTCCTTCTTAATTTCCCAAGTCTTCTCTCTCAGGGTGCATGGTGGTTGAGAGCACAGGCTTGAAGCCATTGATATAGCCTGGCTCTGGGTTCTGGCTCTATACTTACGAATGCAAGAATCTCTCTGTTCCAAAGGATCCTTCCCTCTCTCGCAGGTTGTTGTAGGATTACACGAGTTAACATGTAAAATGCTAAGAATGGCTCATTCACGTTGCTGCTGGTCTTGTTGTTATTAATACTTTGCCCAGCCAGAGACAGCAAAGGCTGGAAAACTGAATCTGAAGGAACTATGGCTTTGGGTGGAAGAAAAGCTTCTTGAGAGTCTATTTAATTTACTAAGGACAAATATAGAGAGCCTACATTTCATGTTTATTTTGTGCCCCGTTTTGGCTAAGCACTTTACATGAGTTATCTTGGTGAATCTTCACAACTCCAGGAGTTAAGCACTATTATTGTAGTGCTTATTGTATTATTGTATCCCCATTATCTTATAAATGAAGAAACGGGATGCAGAGAGGAGAAGTGAGAGCCCAAGGCTACGCAGTAGCAACCCAGATTCCGTCTAGGCAGTCAGCACCCACGGAGGCTCAGCAGTTTCCTTCCACTAACACTCTCTGGCCTGCTTTTCTCAGACCTTTGAGAGAGATTATACGTCAGCGTCAGTTTTCTCTTGAACCTTTCTGCAATTTAAAAGTATTCTAGGAGAAACTAGAATTATCCATATACTTAAAAAACAAAGTCACTATTACCCCCAAGAAGAAGAGGCCTTTTGAGACGGAAAAGGGGCAAGATACTGCTCCTGCCTGCAGGGGGCGCTGTCGGTGGTAGTAGCTGGCGCTTCCGCGGTGTGCAACAGGAAGGTCCAGACCTCAGCGTTAGGAAGCAAGGCTGGGCTGGGAAAAGCTGAATCCGATTTGATTTTCACATCTGTGAAACTGAGGACTAGCTGTGGGGAAAAAGAGGGAAGGAAGAAGTTAAGGGTGGTGAGGGGGTGGAGGGAGCGAAGGTGCCATTTACAGAATGTAAGAGAGAAGTAGCAATTCCAAAGAAGTGGCTTGCCCCTCTCCTCTGCTTCACTTCCCACTGTGTTTCGTGGTGGTCGTTTCTTCCTGAGGTTACAGGATAAACAAACCTGGCACACGTTGTAAAATCCTCATCGTGAGGAGCTCCTGGGGCTTTGAGCCTCTCTGGGGCTTTGCTATTTGGTCCAGCTAAGAGGTTTCATGTGTGTTGTTGCTGTCCTTTGCCCTCAACCATTTAACCCTTCCGTCTCTTGAGGCGACCCTTCCTTCAAAGAAGCCCACCCCACCTCGAGAGACAGATTGTCCCCTTCTTTTATCTTTCTATTTGGAAAACAAACCCAGGCCACACGAGGCCTTGAGGATATTCCAGTCTCCTAGCCACCAGGCTACGCAGTTCAAGAAAACTGGAGCGGGGCCAGCCCCTGGGGCTGCAGATGGCTGCTGCTTCACAAAGGGCTGGGCCCGGAAAGCCAAAGGTAGAAAGTGATTTGGGCTAAAGTAGCTGAAGATCTAAAAGATGAGCAGAGTTCCTGTGTGGTAATTTCTTGCAACAATGAGATTTTACTAGATTGAAAATTCGGCTGTTAATTTAGGGTAAGGAAATCTCACCCAGATCTCCAGGTATAGGACAGTTAAAACAGAAAGAAAAAGAATGCTGATCAAAAGGAAAAAGGACAGAGTCCTTCTGGCTATTTTTCACTTCTAACCACAAGTGGGGGGTCTACATGAGAGAGAAATGTGAACTGTTTAATTCAGACAAAGGAAGACACCCCATTTTCCTCCCTTTAAATCAGCCTTTAAGAAAACACCCAAATAAATGGGCTTGTTTTGTGTCTACCTTAAAATATGGCTTGCCTTTATTTATGTACACATGCCATCAAACATACTTTTTCTTTTGAATCAAAATGGGATCAACATTGTTCATATAGAAATTTTTTTTAATATTACAATACCAGGATCCTCGCACATTTTATATACAATACGTCACTCCACATTTATAATATATTTCTTAGGTTTACATAAAAAATGAAGGTACTAAGATTATTTACAAAAATACATCCAATACCACTAACATTTAAAGGCAACGTTCCCACTTTACTTTAGGCAGGAATGAACTTCTTTTGAACATGGCACAAAAGGATCGGCATAATAAAAGTGAATATATTACAAAACCAACCAAACAAAAACAAAGTCAGTCTGCTAGACCTAAGCCACTCGCAGTTCCAAAAATACAAGCCCAAAGCCGAAAGGCTTTTTCATCTGAGCGTGCACAACAGTTTCCCAGGAGTTTCTTTGTGAATACGTCTCCTTCTTTTTCATAAACTCCTGGGTCTGGATTCCTAAATATCAATGTAATGTGACCTAATCGAAAGGATTAGGCGAGGGAGGGAGGGTGTGATCTGGCTCCGTGGAAAACGTCCCCAGTCCCGGCTCCGAGTTACTTGTCCACCACCTCCTCCACGCAGGAGAGTTTGCGTTCCTCCGAGGAAATACTGTCCACGATGGAAGAAAGGCATCGAAGGCTGCTCGACGCCGACGAATCCATGCTTGCCCCTCCTAAGCGGAGAGAAAACACACAAACAGAGCACCCAAGGAAGCAGACAAGGCAGCCCTGCGCCCCGCACCAGGCCGCTCCAGCAGCGCAGGAGCAGCGGGTCCCCGCGCGTGGGGAGCTCCCAGGTCGCAGGGCGCGTCCCCGCTCGGCCTCTGAGCCCTCTCTGCCCAGAGCGAGCACCCAGCCCCCTCCCGGGGTGTTCTCTAGCGCTGCCCAGGGCCCTTTCTTTTACTTTACCTTCCTTGGCGGTTATCACGAGCCCCCTGGAATGATCCGAAACACTTGGCCATTGGGAGCTGCAGGTGCGCAGGAAATCCGCACCCTCAAGCTGGAGGAAAACCAAGGCAGCAGAAGATTAAGAAAGAAACATCGGTTCCGGGGCGGGGGGGGTGTGTGTGTGTGGGGGGGGGAGGTTGTGGGGGTGTCTCTCCTGCTTCCTCGGGCCGGGGCGAATTTCCTGCCTATTGCAGGCACCCAGTCTTCACGGGTCACTGTGGGTTCATGAGACAGGGAGCCGGAGGGGCGGGCGAGGAAGGGGGACAGGAAAGGAGAAGGAGCAGCTGGAGGTTAAGGCCCCAAGGAAAGCATCTAATCAGCTTTTGCATTTCCCTGCCCCGGCAGCAAGGGCTTACATTCTCTTGCTTGGGTCTGTAGCTGAAGGGGTCTACCCCTAGCTCCTGCATTTTCTCCTGCTGATCCAGCCGGTGCAGCAGGTCCTGCAGCCTTTCAATGTAGCTGATGGCGCTCCGCAGAATCTCCACCTTGGGCAGCCTCTGGTTGGGGTTGGCCACAGTCCGCCGCTTCAGAGCCTCGAAGGCCTCGTTGATTTTCTTTAGCCGCCTCCTCTCGCGCAAAGTGGCGGCTTTCCGCCGGTCAGTGGGGGCAGATTTTCTCTTGCAGGTCTTGCAAGCCCAGATCAGACATTGGCCAGGGCAGTGGGGAGGCTGCAGGCCTGGGGGCGCCAGGACGTGTTCCTCTCCGCTGCTGTCGCTCCCAGCTTCCGGGGGCATTTGGTCCTGGCAGGGGGACAGGGTACCATCACTCCCTGGATACAAAGGAGAGCCCTCTGCCACTTCTAACGGCTGCAGGGTAACATTTTCCCCATCCAAGTAGAAGAAATAGGAGCCAGTTTCAAAAAGGTCCATCATCATGTTCTCCTCCTTGGCCTCTGACTCGGTCTCAACTGGGTGATGGGCTCAAAAACCCAGAGGAACCACCCAGATGGCATTTAATTAGTGCGGTGACATAAGTCACCCCAGCTTTATATATAGTAGCTCCTGAAACTCAATCCAACTTTTAGCTGTCATGGAGCATCAGTCTCCCAATGTGATTACAGCCAGTGCTCTCTAGAACATCTAGTTTGAAAGAAAACTGAGAAGTGTCACCCCCAGAAAGATGTGACAATCTATAGGCAGAACAGGTTAAGACAAAATACACAGAGAATCATTAATTTAAACAAAGCATTGAGTGCTTCCATTTCAGACAGTTTACATGCTAACCTGCTTACAGGACAACTTCAAAACAACTGGGGATTAACACTGCCCATTCCCCTCCCCCCGGCTCATCTGAATTCTAAGTATAGACCCATGATGAAAGATTTCAAAGGCAATAGCCATTGCTCTAAAATAGTCTGGTTAATATTTGCAGAGTGGTTCAGCTCTTTTCTCTCTCCTGCCTGTCAAAAAGATGTTATTCCTGTGATTAAAACCATTACAGTCCTTCAAAGGTTATACATGACTTTCAGGCTTCAGCCTCCATAGCAGCAGGTAAATCTCTTTCCTCTCTTTTCCTAAGGCTGTAAGATGATTTGGGAGCTGGAGGGGGTGGCTAGAGGGTGCTCAGGTTCCTTCCTTGGCTATGTTTTCTTTTAGGGGGGTGCAACTAAGATCTGAATTCTGTACCCCTCCAGGGTGGAGCAGTGGTATCTGCGAGGTAAGGGATGGGGCAGAGGATGGGGGTGCAATATATGTAATGACTTTTCTTTAAAATTAGTTTTATCAGAACCAAGACTCATACTATAGCTACTTGATATTTCAGGATTCAGTGTGGCTTCCAGTTCAAGGTGCCTCGGTTCTGGCTCCTGTCCTACACACTGTGTGTTCACAGCTTTTTCCTTTGCGGTCTTGCCATCCATTGATTCCAAACAAGTTGTTCCAAAGGATTTTGATGAGAAAGGTAGTAACCAAGGCACAAGCAAGGAAATGGAATTTTAATTGCAGCTTGCCTGTGGTCCAGTGCACACAAGTATGGTGACTGGGGTGGCAGTCCTGCATAAGCCTGGGATGCAGGGGCCCTAGGTTCCAAAGAACTCCCTTCAAGTCGGAGCTAAGGTCATTTCTATTTCTGTGCACATAGGTAAGTACTAGGTCTCGATTTCTTCAAGGTAATAGAGGTTGCTTTATATAATTTTGGTGAGGGTTCAATCAAATGCTATCATGCATGTGAAACATGTAGCCTTAAATTAGCTGCTTGATGAACATTAGTTATTGTTTAAAGCATAAGGCTGTGTCAAGGCTAAGATAATTTCTTATGAGGGAAATACAGCACAGCTGGTGCGGAGGTTTATTTTTTTTCTCTTTGTATTCTTTTCTTCTTTCCTTTCCTTTCCCTCCCAGAGCTCTGGAGGGACTCCCTTCACCTATAAAGGACTTTGGGATGACAGTAAACTTTGGTTTTGGCTTTGTAGTCAGTGCCTGAGAAACTAGATGGGAACATGAAGTCTTCTTATTCTACCCTAAGCAGTGATAGTTATAGGCTCTCTTCAATATCACTTCATTTTTTAATGAGTAGAGTGAAGACAATGCAAGGAATGAATGGTTAAGCAATGTAGGAACTAGCCATTTTTGAGTCAAGTCGATTATTCTAGAAGGTAATTCTTCATAGTCTCTTTCTATTGAGCCATAGACTTGGGGTGTTAAGTTTTGACATTTTGGGCTGTTTTTATTATTGTGTGGCTGAATGATTCAAGCTTGAGAACCATTTCTGGGTTTTTGGAACAGTCAGAAGCACAGGGAAGAATAAGAAGCCATTACTTCTTTTTTGATATCATCTCCTATTTCCATTGGTCTCCTGGTTGCTGATGTCAGCAGTTAAGGCTGCACATTGGCGCCTCTGACAATGCAGGCCATAGTCAACCATCCATTCTGGAAAACTGCCTTATGAGTGCAACCACCCTCCATGCTGCATCTTATAATGTGATAACAATTTGAAAAGTCATCTTTTAACCAGTGAAATTATATGGCATTATTACTAAGATTATTAAGATAACAATGACCGAAATTCATTTATTCAACATTTTTGGGTCAAGTGTGAAATCACTTCAAAAATGTTGCATACTCTGTAAAAGAAAAGTACTTTTATTACAGGAATTAAGTTTAGAGAAAAAATGAGATAAGAAAAATATCACTTCTGAGCAACTTTGTTGCTTGGGTAGTAGAACTAAATGTTTAGGGTGGTTCCATTCATAGACTCCCCACCGATTTTAGGAGCTGTTGGATAGATGCAAAGAGTCTACACATCATGAACCTGCTAAAGAATATGAAAGGGCAATTTTTCTCCTTTATTTTTCTTTCATTCAAGTGTCACCACTGGAGAAACAGTGGGTTCAAAATGTCAAAAGAGAGGATTCTAAAATAAAGTAGAGAAAGCCTTGGGGTGCTGATCAAGAGCAACCTCCCAGGCTTCAGCGGCATTTCATTGTGTGAATTCAACCATCACTATTGAATTGTGGTTCCTTATTAAAATACAAAGCCCCTTTCCCAACATTCTCGAGAACTGAGGGCAATAACATTAGTGTTGTTATTCACCTTGGGTTAAATAGAGTTTTCCCTTTTTTGTTGTTGTTTTGGGGGTTAGAGGTGGTGTGGGAGGAGAGAAAAAGGAAATGCCAGCTTGGGAAATAACCATCCTTTATTAGATTAGGTAATGGGAAAATACGCACTGATTCCAAACAACGAGCTTGCGAACTGCTGGAACTCAAACTGTTTACAAAATCTGAGATGCCTGTAATTGCAATTACATTATTTCTCAATAGAACTTGGGAGACACAGACCTTGACAAGTGGTCAAAACAGGTTTGTGTAAACTGAAATCCTCCAAGCTTGAAATAGTTCAAATACATTTTTGGAAAAAGTAAATAATAATAAGAGAATAATTACACCAAGCATCATTAAGAAATCCCCCCAAGGGCCTAGAGTTCATTCACAACAAAATCTGAAACTAGGTTAGTGATAGAATTGCAAGTTTTCAAGTAATTTACGGCCTCATTATTCTTACTTCATGCTTAATTATTTGTAAATGCATTTTCTTCCCATCATCTCCACAAAAGCTTGAATATGTCCAGTTCTTCTCCGTGAAGAGGAGTGGGAGGGAACGGTTTATGGCTAGCTCAATCAATGGTGGATTTTAGCTCTGAGCCTTTGGGAAGGTGGAATATGTGGTAGAAAGAGAACAGAGCTTTGAAGTAAGACAGAGTATAACTTCTAGCTACTCCTAATTGTGTGTTCCAAGCCTCAGTTTTATAAGAGATCAAATGGTATAAATAATACATACATCACAGGCTTGTTGTTAGCACAAAATGAAATATTGAGTCCATGATATGGAATATGCCACTCAACAAATGTTAATTTCCCTCCTTCCTCTACTCATTTCTTAAGGCCTCTGATTGAAATAGCCAACGTGAACTAATTGAAAACCCTAGATTTGGTAAGACAAATATTTAAGATAAATTTGGGGATATATTTGTGTTAATGGTATAGTGGAAGTGAAAATATTGAAACAACTGACTCCAATAAAAGTATTTCATATATTTATGCCCTCAGCAAATTTTCCATTTTACTGGGGGACAGACACTAATTAAAAAGTGACACAAATGAATAACTGATGCAGGAACTTTGAAGGCAAGGAATGTGGTTCTTACAAGTCTATAACAATGAAGAGTCTGTCATGAACAGGAAACGTGAGAAAGGATGGTTCCAGACAGAAGTTCCTGAGGTGTTAGGTTGGTATTTCTAGGGAGCAAAGTTGAAGCTTTTTAGCAAACCTGTGGATTGGGATGGCCGTGACAGTGGCAGGAAGCTCAAGGAAGGAATAGACATGGATGAGGGTGTGTCAGAAACTGGTGAAAAGATTTTTGTGGGTTATATCTAAGGGATTTGACTATATTATTGCATAGTTGGTTCAAAAAAAGCAGTTTCAGTTACAGCTGAGGAAGGAGAACTGAGGGCCAGACAGAAAATGATTCTGCTTTTCCAGCAGTGAGGAGAGAGAGAAGAGAGAAAAAAAGGGTAGAAGAAAGGAGGGAGAAGGGAGAAAGGAGAGAAAGACAATGAAGAGAAATTAGTCCAGCTGGCAGGTAGAGAGTCAACCAGCAAGGCCAGCGAGCGGCCCTCGAGAACAGAAGGTGAAGGCAGCCGCTGCCTCAAAGGGAAAAGTCAGAAGAGGCAGATTAATGCTTTAGACTTGTGACCGCTAATGAGGAACACGAATCCGGGCACCTGTAACTTACCTAATTTGCAGACAGTTTGTGCCCAGAGATTCCCGAACACTGTGGTAAAAATAGTTTTGTACTTCAACTGAGGGAACGTTCAAGTCACTTCAGAGGACGTGGGGGAGGGGCACGAGGCAAGCAGAGGAAAAGAAAAGATTTTAAAGGGGAATGAATCCTCTGCTGTCAACAGATGGTGGCAGTGAGAACCATGCAGAGAAATGGGCCTGGACCCGTCTGGGGAGAACTCTGGTTTCGAGGCCTGCTGGGGAGCTGCTTTTTAACAACAGCTCCAAAGAAACGCGTCTAAGACAAACAAGGAAGGAACCAGAGTCTGCTCTTCAGAGCTTTCAAGAAAGACATTTTCAGCTCTTTGCTCCAGCACCTAATTCCCTTCCATTTGGGAGTAGAACACAACTTCCACAAAAACCTGTGTTCAGCAGCCACAAAATGGTGCTTAAGGAGGCTGCTGCTCATTTCTGATTTTCTAGGCGTAGTTTCCAGGGAAAGGGACAATGTATGCTCTTCTACCTGAGAAACGCCCATCCCTTGGTGCTTAAAAAATGAAGTTCTTTTCATAATTCTGCACTGTCCCCTATTTTTCACTTAAATTTAAGAATTTGATAGCAAAATTCGTGAAGCATTAGAATGTTTCTGGGTTCAGTATT